AAAACGTCACAAGTTTAATAACAACATGTATACCTCCTGTATACATGGGATAGGCCCAACAAAACTGAATAACTTGCCACATGGCTTCAGAGCCATCTTAAGTAGCTTAGCAATGACAAGGAAAGTTGGAATGAAGAAAGGGAAAAGTAAATTAAGGAGTTTACCAAGACAGGCACAGAAAATAAAGGTAAGTAGATTTAAGTATTGCATTCACCTCTGAAGAGAGGTAAGGAGATTAGGTTTTCCCAGTAGAATGAGGAAGATGTCTTAAAGAGAAAAGTTTACATACAAATGTCTTTTTCAAAGATTTATTTATACAAGAACTGGGGTACAGGCCGATGTGCAGGAGGGTGAGAGGATTCACCAGAGACAGAGCGGGGAACAGAACAGGCAGACTGATGAAATGCACTGCTGAGGGGAGCAGCGGGCGAGACAAGAGAGGTCTGCCGCGCCATGTGGGACCCTCACTGGCTGGCTGGGATCAAACCGGCGCTGCAGAGGCTGTGGTCAGCTTCACAGCGCTGCGCTCAACCGCCCGCCCCAGGGGAGGCCCGGATCTAATTTTTTTTTTTTTTAATGGAATCACAATGCTATCATTTTCTTAATTTCTTTTCTTTTTTTTTTTTTAATGTGGAGATTACTTTTTTTTTATTAAAGATTTATTTATTTATACAAGCACTGGGTACAGTCAGAAGCTCAGGAGGGCGAGAGAATTCACCAGAGCCAGAGCGGGGAGCAGAGCAGGCAGAAGGGCCTAAGTACATAGCTGAGGGGAGCAGCAGGCCGGCAGGAGAGGTCTGCGCGCCATGCGGGACCCTCCTCTGGTGGCCAGGGAGCAGCCAGGGATCGAACTGGCGCTGCAGAGGCTGCGGGCAGCTTTGAAACCCAGCGCTCAACTGCTGCACCACCGGGGAGGCCCATAAATGTCTTTTTCAATAACAACCATCAACAGTCTTCAGAATCCCTCCCATGAAATCAGTCTTTTGCCAAAAAGATGCTGTTGGAGTGAAAGATTTTTATTCTCCTAAACTTGTTAGTCAACTAGTTAATCTCCGTTAGAAAAGCACTTTATTTCTTAGTACTTAATGATCCTTTCAAATCTAATTTTTGCTATTTAAGATCACTTGGCGAGGATTATTTGCTATATAAAAATAAATATTTATTTTTAATATAATTATATTCTATTATTAAAAATAATTTTATTTTTTATATACTGAGTTGTAGAATGTAATGCCATTATTTGCCTATTTTTTAAAAATTGCATCATTTTTAGTGAGGTAACATTGGGTTCAACACTGTATATAATTTAGGGATAAAGGTTTATGCGTCTTCAGGAATGTGTTCCACACTACACCCACAGTCAAAAAAGCACCATAGGGCCTCCCCGGTGGCGCAGCGGTTGAGCACTGGGTTTCAAAGCTGCCCGCAGCCCCTGCAGCGCCGGTTCGATCCCCAGCTGCTTCCCAGCCACTGGAGGCGGGTCCCACATGGTGCACAGACCTCTCCTGCCGCCCGCTGCTGCCCTCCGCAGTGTACTTCGGTCCTTGTGCAATAAATAAATAAATAAATAATAAATAAATAAATAGAAACTTTCTAAAAAAAAAAAAGCACCCATAATCCTCTACTACCTTCCTTTGGGTCCCCATCTCCATTTTCTTTCTATCCTTCCCCTTCCGTAGCCTCAGTTCTGTAGTGAGATTTCTAAGGTTTATTTTGATTTAGTTTTGTCTGTTCTTGTTTTTTCTTTTCTTTTTTTATATTCCTCACATGAATGAAAGTGTCTGATATTTACCTTTCTTCTTCTAACAGCCTGGTCTCCCATCCATGTTGTCACAAGACTTCATCTTTTTCTACAGCAGAGTAGTATTCCATTGGGCATATATGCTACAACTCCTTAATCCACTCATTTCTTGTTTGGCATTCAGGTTTCTTCCATAGCTTTCTATTGTATATAGAACTGCGATGAAAGTAACAATGTGTATATCGCCTTGAACTAGAGTTTTTTGTATTCTGATATAACCAAGGAGAGGAGTTATGGATCATATCACAAAATCTATTTTTAATATTTTGTAAAACCCCATACCATTTTTCATAGGAATTGGACCAGTCTACTTTCCCACCAACATTGCCTTTTCTCCATACCCTCACCTGTATTTGTTGTTCTTGATAGTTTTTGATATGGACCATTCTCACTGATGTCAGGTGGTATCTCTGTGATTTTGATTTGCATCCATAATGATAGGTGATGGTGAGCATCTTTTTGTGTGCCTGTTGGTGTCTGTATTTTTTTTTTTGGAGAAGTGTATAGATGTTAGCTATGTGTGTTTTTTTTTAATAGATGGTCTTTATTATGTTGAGCTATCTTTTATCCACATTTTTAGAGTTTTTATCTTTAATGAGTGGTGAATGCTTCTCTTGATAGGATCTTATGATTTTTTTTTCTTTTTTGATGTTGTGAATTATGATGATGTGTTACAAATATAGCCATCCTTGTATCCCTGGAATAAATCCAACTTAGTCATGACGTATGATCCTTTTAATATATTGTTCAATTTGGTTTGCTAAGATTTTGTTGAGGATTTTTAACATCTATGGTCATCAGGGATATTGGTCCATAGTATTCTTTCTTTGTTCTTTTAGTATCAGAGTGATATTAGTCTCCTAAAATGTGTTTGGAAGTATTTTTTTTTCCTAAATTTTTGTTTTATATATAGAGATGATGAGTTTGGCAATAAGTTGAGGTTTGTTTTTGCAGAGGATGTTAAATGATAATCTATTACAATAAAATGCATTACTATAAACTGGTAGAATGGTGTGTAAGATATTAGATACATCCAGAATTTAAGGTAACAAAGTAGAATTATACAACTGGCAGGTTGACATTGGAGTTCTGAAAGCGATTCACATAGAATTAAAGGATGGAGTTAGAGAAAGTATGTTGACATTTACAGTGAGAATTCAGAGTACAATTGTGCCTTCAAATTAAGTTTGACTCAGGGTCACTGTCAAAGGCAAGCTACTGGACTGGGTAAGTCGTCATAGGACTACAACTTCGTGTTTGCATGTCAGCCTTTTATCCCTGTCCAGAAATAAAATTTCAATCATGATAATTGTTTATTCTATAAGGAAACTCTGATTTTTCTGAAAATCTATGTCACATAAGAGGAAAGAGAAAATGGTATTTCTATAGCTGGGGTTATCATTGTTTGCCTGGAGTGGTAAGAGAGGTATCCACCAATGTAGTATAGAGCCAAAAGATGCATCTTTCATTTATTTTTTTCACTCAGTATGATTAAAATAGATTATATGAAGAAGTAAAAATTTTGTTTAAATACATATATACACTTTGGTTTTCTCCTTTTAATTTCTTGAGGTATGCAACAGCTCAAATCACAAAATTAGAAAATTATCAGATTACCTTTCCTTCAATCATAATCTTGAATAATTCATAAAGAAGCCACATAAATGTAGCTAGTCTGACACAAAACAAGGAAGCAGTGTAATCCTTGTTTTTAATGATGTCATTCTTTTAGTTTTTAATAGAAATACCTGGATACTTACAAAACTGCTCTTCAATATAAGGATGTATGTATAATATTGAGTATCCAACATTTTAGTAAAATAAAGTTTTAATATTCCAAGTTGTAATATTTAACAGCTTAATTTCAAACTTTCTGTGTTTCTTGGTTGCTCTTGATTTCAGAAGTAGCTGGTTTAAATGCATAGTGAGTATATTTTCAAGTACATCCAATTTGCATGCCTCTAAGACTACCACCACTTTGATGTCAATTTAGAAATGTGATTTTGAAATATCTTTAAATATGTATTAATTATTTTATAGCTATATGATTTTAAAATAGAGTTTTAATATAAAAATATATTTGTCACTGATAATGTATCAGTTAACTAATGTTCAACAATGATCATCAATGTCAAAGAGTATATACTCTTGTAGAAATTTTAGTTTTAACATAATGATTTCTTTAAATTATTAGACATTTTAAATGGTGATGCCGGACTAAAAAAATAGATGCTTAATAAATATTATTTATTTAATGAATAAATTTTTAAAGTCTTAAAAAATAAAACTGTAAGTGCTGACTAGAGTACTAAGAAATAAAAGTTTCATTGAGTTTAATTAAGCACGATTAAACACCCTGCCAAGCTCAGAAAACAGTTTTTAGAAATACTAGCAGTCCTTAGGCAACATAGGAGCCTTTAGTTAAATGAATTAAAAATGAGATTGAGAATAGAAATTTCAACACAGATGCCTACTCTATTAATTTGCTGATCATTGCTGAAAATTAGCTACACATCTGTTTTTGTGTATGTGTGAAACTGACATGTGTTATTGGTTCAATTAAAGTTAATGTACAGAATTAATTCTGACTAAATCCCTTATTTTCAAAATCATGATTTTCATGTTAAGTTTTCTAATTAAATTTCTGATTTTAATGCCTTTTTTTCCTCTTCCACAGCATTTAATGGAATTGTTAGTTTCTGATTAAAAGGTTCTGATAATGAAATAGCAATATGTCTACTTATTATAGAAATTATAGAAATAAAATTGCATGCTATCAACAGTAAATGGAGGTTACATTAATATATTCCATCATCGGCTCTTAGTCACATTGGGTTTTCTTTTTGTTGATAGAATAAGATGACTTAGTCTTCCAACTTGCTTTTGAAAAATTACGAGCCTCAAAAATAAAAGGAAATACAAATGTTTTGGTTATTCTGCAGGGCTGAATTTTGGGTAAATAAATCAAGAATTTATTAATAACCATTTGCTAAGTGATTATAAATGTTTTCCACTGCATCTGAAATGCAACTGTTCACTTTTTTGTTACTAATTTTCTTCTCAAGGAAATCACTAGTACTTAGGGATTTGAAGTTACTTGTTGCATAACTCTTGAAAAACTGCTAAAAGCCAGTGATAGCCACTCAATCTAATTATTTACCTTTTGACTATGGGTTTTTTGTTGTTGTTGTTGTTTTAGGATTAAAACAAGGTGAGCCAACCATGACTGGCAAAACACAGACCAGCAATGTCACCAATAAGAATGACCCAAAGTCCATCAACTCCCGTGTTTTCATTGGCAATCTGAATACAGCTATTGTCAAGAAAGTTGATATTGAAGCCATTTTTTCAAAATATGGAAAAATAGTTGGATGTTCAGTTCACAAAGGTTATGCATTTGTACAGTACATGAGTGAGCGACATGCAAGAGCTGCAGTGGCTGGGGAAAATGCCAGAATCATCGCAGGTCAACCACTTGGTAAGTCAAGCATAGTTATATATTTCACATTAGTGTTCTAGTTTCTGCATATATCTGGATATGGTCTTATTTTTAAAAACCAGCAACACCACAATATCTATACTTTAGTTAACCAATTAGATTTTTTGTATATTTATAATATATATTTTTACAGAATATTGTTATACATGTTTGTCCTATTTTTCTCTACAAATAATTATTGCTATATAGAAATATAGATTTTATTCACACTTCTCCTGTTCATTTCATTGAATGAATGGGTAGTGCTTTCCAAAGGACATTGATAAGTTTTTCATCTATCTGTTCTTTTCCATTTAACTTAATGTTCTTCCTCTATTTGGTTACCTTGATAGAAAAATTTTCTGACCTTTTTTGTTTTCTTTCTAAATGGAAATTTTTACTTTAGGCAACATCTGAGCCAGTATCAGGGAAATCTGCACTTATTGCTTGTATTCTGTTATTCTGAAATCAGCATATAATTGTAGAAATGCATTTAGTTTGTTTTTTAATGAATTGCCAATTTATGTCAATTAAAAGCCCGATTCATTTATTAATTAAACTGTAATTTTCTGGTGTCCCTCTTTCTTATCACACTCAATTGATCACTATTCTTTTGTGAAGAATGCAATGGGAAGAAGAAATATCAGCTCTAAAAATGTAGTGCCTTACCTAGAACAACCCAAAGGAAAAAAACGACACCAAATTACTTTGCTTTGAGAGGCACAGAATTAAATTGCGCTTCTAATAAGAAACAATTTCTCATTTGCGGTCATTCCTCTTGGATCCTCTCTTAGTTGTGTCCTCAGGTTAGTCTCTGAAGTATGTGTATTAATCAGCAGTAATCACTCTTTCTGCCTGAATTCAAGACAAAGACTCTTGTCCTTTAGTTGAAGTCTAGTCTTTACCTATATGTGCCTAAAACGAATGTCTCTTCATACAAAGAAAGTGCTTTATAACTTTACTTAATAACTTTACTTTTCACATCAAGTGTCTGAATATATCCACCTCTTAAATCATGTACCTAGAAATTCAGGCAAAGGCATATCTTCCCTATGGGAAGCTGGTTCCTCAATGAAATCTTAAAGAAGACTCTTAGTTTTCCAGGAGGCATAGCCACTTCATGTTAAACATTGTGCTTTTGATTTTGATGAGGGAAAAGTTAGGTTTAACAAATTACTTGCTTCTTTAATTTTCCTGATTCTCAAGTAAACCTTTGTGACTTGCAGGCCCTGCTAAAACCTGTAAACTCTTAATTTGAAGTAAATTGATTGTGGATCAAATAATAGCATTGTCATATGAAATTAATGTTAGCTTTATGTACCATGACCTAGCTAAACATTCTCCTTTCTCTGTACTGCACTGGGCTAGTACTTTATATTATTTAATCTCATATAAGTCATATGTAAGTATCTTCTTTTGAATAGGAACAATCTCTTCATATCACTCTATGTTAAAAACCTTTATGTGCAATTTAGAGATTAGGGTTAAATAGTTATAGTATCAGAAAAAATTAAACATCCTAATGTGAGATCTTATCATTCAATGAAGGTTGTAGCTGTAGTTTAAAATAAAAATAGACTATACACATGATTACATCTATAGATTATTAAATGGAAAATAGTTATTTTGATTCTGCAATTAGATGAGATGCTAAAAGGTGTTAATTTGGGTAGTAATTTATTGAAACATCTTTTATTGAAAGAAAATCTATCAGTAATTTGGTGGATGCATTAGTGTGATATAAAACTAGAAAAACAGGACACATGTTGAGTGCCCTCTGAAAGAGTTTAACTTTCAAATTATGGAAATAAAGAGGAAAAGTAAACAGAATGAGATGGGGGGAATATCCAGAACGATCCCCATAATACTGGGTTGCGTTCTCTCCTGAATATTGATACAGATCACTAGGTTGAGAGAGATTGATTTCTTAAGGGGAAAAGGGTTTTGTGTAAGTCACTGAGTTCAGGACTGAGTCTATTTATTAAGTGTATTTATCTACATGCCCTGAGGATACCCAGATATATTATCAGTAGAATCTGGATCAAACTAAGAATAGAGATTTGTGAGTCATCAACATAGATAGAGAAAAACTGTAGAACTGGATAAGCTCCCTCACAGAAAGAATAGGGAATGAGAAGAATATGGGCTGAAAATGGATCTGTGGACAAATCTTGGATCAATAAGCACCTTTCTGATAAGTACTCTGAAAATCTAAATCAAAACTCTTTTCTATGTAGCTATTTGATCCCTCTACTCTAAACTGTAGTTAGCATGGCCTCCCTAAACTTTCTGTATTAGATGACTACTTTGTTAGCCTTAGAGTTCTTAAGTCACTTGTCTTAAACTGCTAATTATCTCTAATCTTCCAAGGCCATATCTGTAAATGTTCTTATTGATGCTAATTTTTAAAAAGCTCATTTATGAGAACTTAAACACATTATTTAAGGCATAAATTTCTTCCTACATATAATCAAAGTCATCTGTCCAGCTAAGTAGCAGAGAAAGCTCTATCTACCTTGCCAACTTTCAGTGTCTGTCTTTCATAAAGCCATTGGCATGGATAGAAATATTCCTAGACTATTTGCAAATCAACCATGGCAGACCTACCCAGGGTGCTTTTACTCATGTGAGTACAGCATACCTGAGAAATAAAGGGCAAGAATTCCATATCCATGTTATGAAATATTCTGTATCTTTCTGGAAAAAAAATTAGCATAAAATTTTTAAGTATATATTTTACATTCTTTTCAAATTCATATAAAATAAGAAAGTATTATTTTAATTGATGAATCCTACCTAAAAATTATAGTGTGTAGAATAACTATGAGCTCAGAAATTGGAGCTCAAAGTACTAAAACTCTGATGTGAATTTTGAAAGTAAATCAGAGTGTAAGATCTTCATTAGTTTTTCCTCCCTAAGTGTTCTATGTTGACAAAGGTTCCTAATTTCTTTAACAGAATGCATGAAAATGCACCTTGAATTAGTTCAATGATGCATACATTTTATTAACATAACATGAACCTTAGGAATGTTTGTTTAAAAGCAAATTTTATTTCATGAAGTAATTTCCCTTTAAAAATATATAGAACATAAACTAATAACTAATATATTTTTTCCTTGGGGTTAGAGTCCTATATTTTTATTGTTCCAGAGCAATTAAATAAAAACAAACAAAGGACTTTTTTTAACTGTAAATAAGATATCCAGTTCCAGCTTTTTAAATTTATGATCAAAGCATATCCTAGATCTGATTGTTGGATATACATACTTATTTGGGGTACCTTTCTGTCCCCATTTTTATACTATTTTCTTTAAAGTTTGTGGCTTTATTAATTCTGAATTTTCTCATGCAATCTAAGGGGGCATTGACTTCATCCAAGCTGTGTTTCCAGGCTGTAGCACACGTTTCAAAATCACCTCTTCTTTTTCCTGTGATGGGTCTTCTCATTCCCAGATCACTGTAGCTATTTGGGTACATTTACCTGATAAATACACTTTATCTTATGTTTGGAGATACAATAATTGAGCACATTGAGCACATAATCCTTTTATGTGCTGGTTTTATAGTGTGGTTGTGCAGAGATGTATTGTTAGTATTACTGCCTTCCAAGCGCCCATCACAGCATAACTCATGGTACTATACAGAAAAGGAATCTTGATTGTAACTTACCTTAGTTGATTCTATACATTTTCAGTTTTTAAAACATCCTTTGCACAGTAGTAGAAAAAGATATATCTTTTTATCCCTGGTCTCCTGCCTTTGATATGTAATGGAAAATTGTTAAGCCTTCTCTGAAAAAGTAGAATTGATTGCATTTTGAATCACATTACTTGTGGATCTAGCTATAAACTACTCTGAATCCTTTTTGAAGAAAACACAATTTCTATCATGTAAAACTCCTTACAAATGTGTTTCTGAATTTGATATCTAAAAATCAAAATTTAAAAGGCATATCCTCTTAGTATTTCATTAACTTTGGATTCTAAGTGTTGTTAATATTGGAAATACTTCTTACACTGTTACTCTAAATTTATTTGTTGGAAATTTTTTTCTCATAAATACTACATGAAAGGTAAAACAAACTTTGAAATGTTTAGTATTAATAATTTTTATGAGAGGTCACACATAAAGTGTCCTTTTCTATCAAAATGCCATGCAGAGGCTGGAAACTATGCCTAGATCATTGCCAATTTCTGCTGATTACACTGGCTTGATTATGCACATGCTATAAATAAACATTTGTAATGTCTGTATTTTTAGATTATTTCACTGCTATGATGCTTACAGAAGACACAGTTTATGAAATTAAGAAGGCAGTTACTAGAACTAGGAAGAACCAAACCTTAAATAATTGATCTATGCAAATTATTTTTGCTCTAAAACCTGCCATTGAGAAGCAATATCTAGCTTGGAAAAAATAATCCTTAAAAAATAGAATTAAATAAAATGCATTATAAATATCTTGACAATGTTGAAGGAATTCAAAGGAGAAACATGGTAAATAGAGATTGTTAAATTTATTTTTTTGAAGATTTATTAATTTATTCATACAAGAACTGGGGTACAGGCCAGAGGCATGGGGTGGGGGGTTGAGAGGATTCACCAGAGCCAGAGCGGAGAACAGAACAGGCAGATTGAGTGAAATACACTGCTGAGGGGAGCAGCGGGCGAGTCAGGAGAGGTCTGTTGTGCCATGTGGGCTGCTCCCTGGCTGGGGATTGAACTAGTGCTGCTGTGGCTGCAGATATCTTCATAGGTTGCCTCTTAACCCCTTGCATGACCAGGGAGGCCTGATATTGTTAAATTTAAATTTAAATTTGATCATAAAGGAAGTAATAGAAATGCATTAGTAGGGAGGAAGCTATTGGAAAGAGAGTAAGAAGAAAACAAACAAATGGTTTAAACAATCCATCAAGTATGCTCTATGAGTAATGGATTTTAAATGTGTATTTATCCCAGATATCATTCTGTATCCTGAGTTATCTTTTCAAAATTCAA